ACATTAAGCAGAACCACCTTTTCCTGTGATTAAAGGCCTTGTCAGATTGTCTTTTACCATCATGTGATTGTGCCTAAACCTCTGCCTCATAGACCGTTATAGCTGGAGGATGAATATTTTCTTCTTCAACTGCAAAGATCAGGTCCTATCTAAGATTTAAAAAAATCAGATAAAGTAAATGTAGATGACTAGAAAAGGGAGGTCTATTTAAACCTTGAATCAATGGGATGTCATTTACAGCACTCTTTTGGATAATATTCTTTTTATCAGAGAGACAAGTTGTAAGGAAATCAATAGATGAGTGCAAGAATGATAGAGTCCTTATGTTCTGTCATTCTACCAAGGATGTCATCTTGGCATTCCAAAAGAGTATGATGATTTTTTTTTTGTTTCACTGTTTGAATCACTTCTTAATCACTCTTAAATTGCTGCTGGAAATGGAGTTGTGATTTTAAAAAAATCTTCTGTGGACTCAGGCTGAGCTGAGATTTTGGAAATGACTGAAGGAGGCTAGATTTTAAATGAAAGAAGCTGGGCCACACCTGCTTTGTGTGGTGAACAGGTATATAATAGGAAACCTGAGTAGGAGTGATTTGATAAGTCCACAGAAAATAATTAATTTTTAATGCATAACTGGAATGGTAGGTTTTTCGAAGATCAAGTGTACTCTCTTGGTTGTTAGTAGGTTGATAGCCAGTAGTGTAAATCAGGGAGCCAAAATTGCTGTTAGCCACACTGGGGAGGAATACATACATTATTCAGAGAATGGAGAAATACTATGTTGCTATTTGTTTATATGGCTTTCAAATCAGTGTATACAAAGATTAAATATATACACAAATATAGAATAAAATGGCAAAACAGACAGTACTAACAACAGCAATAAAATTAATAACAATTAATAACCAATGAGAAAAGAGTTGAGATATGCAAAAAAAAACCCTCATATTATGAAAATCTATCATAAAAACATGTTGTTGATGATCTTTTGGAAAATTGAAAGGGAAGGTACCAAATGTAACTCCTAGGGAGAAAGGAATACACTTCCCATCAACCCAGCCGGCCTTGCCAAGTGTGAGGGATGATGGGAAGAGCAATTCAGTAGCCTCTGAAGGGCAACAGCTACCACAGCACTATGATACCACTGCTGAAAATGACATGTACCATGTCCATATGTTGTGTTAGGGTTCAAAATAAAACTCCAGATAATGAATCAGAAAGATGTTCAAAAATAAAGCTTGTTTATGATGCATAAATCCATGAGGATATATGAATGCTAGTCAACACATTTCCTGAGTACAAGACATCAGACAAAAGCACAAAAGATGTCCCCAATATTTCTAATACTCAAAGTCATTATGTTAAGACTATAGGGTAACAATAGACTTACTGTCCTTCCATGGGCAGAATTTCCTCTAATACTTTTAAAGGTGGGTGGACAAATTGTGTCTTTCCAGATATCTCTGGGCTGCAGTTCTCAGCATCTCTCACCATTGGATATGCTGACTAAGGCTGATGGGAATTTCAGTCCAACTCCAATAACACCTGGTAGTCCACATGATCCCCACTCCTGTTTCTGTGTTTCAAGTCATTATTGCTTTTATTATAAGAATCTACATGTAACTCTGGAAGTTGACAGTGCCTGTACTACAGAGTGAAGTATGTTAATTTAAAGCCTCATGCATGCACTCATATTACTCCTTAACATAAAAGCTAAAAGAGATTTGCCTCTTGATGTAATAATTAAGTGCCATTAGGAAGCAGTGGCTTAAAACAGTCATATTTCAAAAATAAGAAATGTTGATATTTGTCCTTTAATTATGGTGTAAAATGCTTGATATAAACCATGACAATTATATTAAAACCAGCTTTCTTCATCAGTTGAAGATTGTATTAGTTTACAATCCCGATCATCCCCAACTAATATGTTTTGTTTGTTTGTTTGTTTTTTGCTGGTTTGGGATTATGTCAGTTGCAGTCTGAAGACTTAGAGGGCTCTAAATTGAGGAAGTCTGGATTAGAAATAATTATGGAGGAAAAATTTGTCAGTGGTTATTAGCTCAATGAATTTCCAGTTTCAGAGCCAATTTGCCAATGAGTACCAGAAAAAGAGTACCATGGTAGGGGAGGGCTGTTGCTTTCATGCCCTGCTTTCCAGGAACATGGGAAATGGTCACTATTCAGAACACAGTGCTGGCCTAGACAGATTTTTGTTCTGTTCCAACAGAAAAGCTAAGTGAGAAGTACAAGGATACAAACCTAACAGAGTGCTCTCTTGCCCTATCATCTGGAAACTCTTTGTTCTTATCCCAGCACTTCCACTTGGTTTCTGGTAGCTTATCTCTTTACTTTCAGCTACTAGTTGGCTCTCCATGGATTCTTCATCCATAGATTCAGGCATACACAGCTTGAATCTAGGGATGAATCTATGTATATATAATACAAATTGCAAATAGCAAACCTTTATTTTGTCATTTTATATAGGGGTAACCATTTTACTATGCCATTGTATTTAACGGGACTTGAAAATCCATAGATTCTGGTATCCACGGGGAGTCCTGGTACAAAACCCCAGCAGATACCAAGGGCTCACTGTATATACAACAGATATACAATAGGTAAAGCTTTTCTTGAATATATTTGTAGTAATGGAAATACTGCATGTTGGAGTTCAACTGATCATGGATCACCAGAAACACTGCCAGTCAGCTGCTGTACTGGCAGCCTTAAATCATCCCCAAATGTATATATTTGTGTGTTGGGATGACTTACACCTGTTGATAGCAAATTATTTGCTTCCCGGATTGCCATACCACACAGTTGTCTATGTTCTACCTGTTTCTCGGCATGTCCATTGAACAATAATCTGGCCTGCATTCCAAGTTTTCTTTAAAACAAACAAACAAAACCTCAGTACCTATCTAGGTAATGTAGAATCCAGAATATGGGTCAAAATATGTAGTCCCTGTTCAGTCCAATTGTTTCACAAGAAACAAGTAAGGTGCAAGGTATGGTGAATAAGGACATTATCACACGTGGGCCAGAAAGTGATAATGAAGTGGAAATGAGGCATTTCAAAAATAAACCGAA